CTCCTCGGAAGGAAGGTTGGGCAATCCTACTTCCGTAGTGATACTGCCTCGGAAACCCAAGGAGGGGTCGCTATGAGTCGGGGCCGACTCGACAGCAAACAACAACAACAACAAGATTCAAAATAGTGATATTATAAGAACATTCATAATACTTACTTTAAACAACAATAATCATTTTAAACTAAGAATAAATAGTATTACAAACATAATAAAGAAAGGGATCAGTGCAGGAGAGATGCTGAATGGAGTGCAAGAAAAATGTATAACAAAACTCAAAATCATATAAAAGACCAGGCTTACTGGTCTGACAGAGACTGGTGAAACCCCCAAGACTATGTACGGCCCCTAGTGACCCTTCAGGCCTAGAACTGAACTCCCAGCTTTCAGCCAAATATATAAGGTGAACATTTACACCAGATAGGTACACTCCTAGGAGCTCTGGTGGTGTAATGCCTAAGGCATTTGACTGCTAACCAGAATGAGTGAGTGGTTCAAACCCACCAGCCACTCCTGGGAAGGAAGACTGGGCGATCTACTTCCGCTAGTGATACCACCTCAGAAACCAAAGGGGGAGCCGCTATGAGTCGATCCAACTCAAAGCAGTCAGTAGGCACACTCTTTAGATCAATCACGGGACATCAAAAGGGTAGTATTTACACAGGAAGATAGATGAGGGAGCAGGAATACATAGGAAAGAAGAACACAGGGAAGAAGTAACAGGGAGGAAGGAGGGAGAGAGCTGCTACATTATGGGGATTACAGTCAATGTCATGAAACAAAATGTATATGAACCACTGTATGGAAAACGAATTTCTTCTCTAAACTTTCACTCAAATCACAACTTTAAAAAAATTGCAAAAAAAGAAAAGTAATTTGTTCTGTAAACTTTCACTCAAACGACCACAAAATATTGAGGAAAAAAAAAAGAAAAGAAATAAAGAAAAAGGCAATGCTGTCAGGACTTGCTTTTAACAGAATATCTAATATAAAAACAAAAGCACAAACAACAAAAGACAAAATAAATGCAACCTCATAAAAACTGAAAACTTTTCTACATGAAAGACTTCACCAAAAAAGTGAAACACACGACCAACTAAAAAGAGTACCTTCCGAAGCCATATGCCTGATGAGAATGTAATAGCCAAAATATATATAAGCATTCAATACTTAACAACAAAAAGACAAATAACCCAATCAAAATGGACAAACCAAAAACAAACCAAACTCACTGCCATCGAGTCGATTCGACTCATAGCAATCTCTCCTTGGGTTTCCGAGACTGTATCTCTACGGAAGTAGACTGCCCAACCTTCTTTCCGAGGGGTGGCTGGTGGGTTTGAACTGCCAGCCTCCTGATTTGCAGTCAAAAATGCCTTAGGCACTATGCCTCCAGAGCTCCTAAAAGGACTTAAACAGTCTTTTCACCAAAGACGATATTCAAATGGACACCAAACACAAGAAAAAATTGTTCACCATCATTAGGTACTGGAGATATGCAAATCAAAAAAAAAACAAGGACTTCAAACCACTTCACTCTGGTTCAAATGCCTACTGAAAATTTGCATTTTTAACAAGTTTCCAGGCAGTGCTGCTAATACAGTTGGTTAGGGATCAATTCTGAGAACCACCAATAGGGCAGTAGTTCTCAAAATTTATTATACACAAGATTCACCTAGGGATCTTGTTAACATAGATTCAGATTCAGTGTATCTGGGGTGGAGTCTTCACCATTCCCAGAGAACTTGTCAGAAATGTAAATTATCAGCAGGAGTTTGAACTCATTCAAAGCCTGGATCAAAACCACAAAGAAATACCATTTCACTCCCAATAGGGAGCTGTGGTGGCATACTGTCTAAGACATTTGACTGCTACCCAGAAGGCTGGCGGTTCAAATCCATCAGCCACTCCTCGGAAGGAAGATTGGATAATCTACTTCCATAGAGATACTGCCTCAGAAACCCAAGGAGGGGTCACTATGAGTCAGAATCCACTCAATGGATTTTTTTTTTTTTTTT